TTGTAAAAACAAACATGATCTTCAAATTCTGACTATGTCTATTAAACCATTTTTTTTTCATTGGATTGGATGGATTATAGGTTACGGATCTGATCAGAGGAGCAGGTTTTATGTGCCACTCAGCATATACACCAAACGGACCAAATTGACTTTGCTCATGCGCTCTAGTTGGTAAATTGTATTTGCCGGGGATACAAAAAATTTCCTAGTTATAGATGTCCGATGCTTGTCAAAGGAAGAAATTTCAACTTCCATTGGGCATGAGAAGCCAAGTAATAAACGAAAAATTGCTCAAAAGGGGCATAAAGTTCAACAATGATCAATGGGTTAATGAGGGAAAAAAAAAACACCAGCCCTTAGCAGTCCTTCAAAGCTTAAACACAATGCAGTTGCTAAAAGAAACACGGATAAAATACAGATTTTTCTTCTTTGAGCTCAGCTTACTGCAAAATTTGTAGATTCCACTTAGGAATGAGTGAGAGTTAGCAATAAAAAATTGAAACATTAACACGGAGGCGCCATGATAAATAAAGCGTTGCAAACAGTGAGCAGTAAGTCCATAGACTGAGTTTATACAAGAACACCTAAAAGCAAGCCCCAAACAAAGAAGTGCGGTATTTAAGGATATCATGGTTTCACTGAGCTCAATTTTCAACTATCAGACAAGGCATAAAGGGCATTATGTTAACCTGGCTAATGGATCAACAAAGCAAAATATAAGAAACACAACATAGCAGAAATGAAATTGAAGAATCGATTAGCATTTAATTACCTGCAATTGCAAAGCAAGATTTGAAGAAACATGTTTCTGGTTCTCATCAGCTTCATGCTCAGGAATTGCATCCAACACTCCCTTCCTCATGATTTTCTTCTGAGAACTGAGCATTAGTGTCTTTGTTAATATAATTGGAGTCCCAGAGAAGGACCCTGCAATGTAGACCTCAATAGTTGGTGAAGCTGAATCAGGTAACATGAATTGTTTCCCCCTGAAGAAGCTAGTGCCTGGACTTAAATCTGATTCACAGTTCATGGTCCACCTTCTTCCATCCAAACTTGAATCGCCTTCAAGACCCTTGCTGCCTTTACGTAGCTCTAAAACCCCAGAAAGCAGAAGGACTTCATTATCAAACACCTCATACTTCACACCACCACTCGTCCTTATGCTATCAGTGCTCACAAATGTCACTTCTTCTGATTTTCTATCCACTCTGTCTCTTTTGAGAAGTGTTGAAACCCCGTCGGAGTATATACTAGTTCGGAGACCGTTAACTTCTAGAAGGGTATCGGGATTCAAAGGAATGTGATTCAGTGTAAGAACATCAGGAGTAGTATCATCAAGCTCACATTTGCAAACTCTTACATAGAATACTCTTATGTCAAGCCAAGGTAATGAGCCCTTCATGGAGGGTTGATATGAGTGTCTAGCAGCAATGTGTCCATTATCAACTGCTCCATTTCGATTAGCCTTATGATAATCCTCCATCATCCGGCAACATTCAGTCTCCTCCTCACCGAGATTCTTACATCTCAATTCCTATAAAACTTGTGCCAACATCAATCCACTGAAATGATCTTGACTCATAAAACGGGAAGCAATATCAGTGATGCGAAATCTGGTCAAGTTACAAGCAAACGTTAATAAATTATCGTCAACAGAAACTCGGAAAGGGGAAGGTCCGAAATCTAACGTCAATAGAGATATGGGAAATAATTCTGCCAGCTTAAGATCATGGATACATCTGGTAGTGAAAATTAAATGATACATCAACGAATTAGAAGGATAAAGAAAGAGGCAGGAACCTGAACTCAATAAGATAAGATAAACATCAACAGCTATGGTTTTAGAGTTAGTAGACCAAAACCACAAAAAAAAAAAAAGTAAAAGAAAAAGAAGAAAAAATAATTAGTCACAGACAAAGAGAGCTGATTAACCAACCCAAGGAAGAAGCAAACAAAAGAAGAAACCCAGTAGAAAAGTCTTCTGATATCACAGATTAAACTTGCAGCAAGTGCTCTCTCTCTCTCTAGATTTTGACCAATTTACGATTGAACAGAAAATAATACCACACTTGAGTTAATTAACCAATATCCCCACAATGTAACTGCAACAATCAAAAGGAAAGGAAATTCGAAGAGCGACGAAGTGGGACAATTGTCACCGAAGAAAAATTTGCGGTGGAATTGCGAATCGGAAAGATAGAAACGCAGACTATGACAAAGTTGTCGCGATACGGGACAGAGACCAGACATCGAAGGAACCGACAAGACGAGACTCGCGTGAATACCATACCACAAATAATAATTTAACAGCAAAACAAACTCACCAAGAAAAATCTTGGTCTTTGATTTTGAAGATGCCAAATGAATCGAATACTGATCTCACACCTATTTCTGTTTTTGATTCCCCCAACAGAACAAAAATAACCTTTTGGCTCACAACCAGAATCACTGCCACGAGAAGAAGAATCTAATCTAACAGAGACCAACTCAAGTCCTCAAATCTCACAACTCGAGTCTATGAACTCTTCTTTCACTTTTGAAACCGTCACTTGTATCAAAGCATAAGAAAGACCCAAATACTCAAATCTTTAGACAACATGGCATATGGATTCTTCTCCCAGTTTTGCAGTTCGCTAAAAAATTTTGACGCACAGGGAAGTTGTAGAAGATCCGGATCGATTGTAATTAGGATAGAGGACTCGTTCTGCCCCTAATATTCCTGAGGTCTTATCCACAACAGCGAGAATATGCACTTTCACAGGGACAACGTATCGAATAAACATGGACAAGCTTATTATTTTCTTTCTGTACAATCCTATGATGACGACGAATCACAATTTATATTAAGAGTATAAGATTTCTTTTCTTGGCCACATTAAACCCCTTTAATTTTATTTGGAGAAATTGCAAAAAAAGACCTTCGAATTGTAAAAACGCAGATAGGAACCCTTGACAACTTCACTTTGGGTTTTGACAAGAATAATATGCCCTGAAGTTGTCAAGGGTCCCTATCTGTGTTTTTGTAATTTCAAGGTCTTTTTTTGCAATTTTCCCATTTTGTTTCCTATTTTACTAATCTTTTATTCATTTATGCAAAAAAAAAAAAAAAGTTTTAAGACCCCCGTGCTTCGCCGGGTCCTTGCTAGGTCGTCCTTATCTCGAGCCGAAATATCTTGGTCTCTTTCCTTGCATAACTCTGTACTCTAAATTAAATTGTGTCTGCTTCTGACAAAATATTTCTGCACTTGAAAAGCTTTATATTTAATTTCTCATATACTATAAAAAGTTATGTGGGTGTGTAATTATCCTTCAGGCTCAATGCTTGCATCTGTGATCAATTTTATATTCTTCTTCTTCTTCTTTTTGCTTTTGTGGTCAATTCGCCTGCCAAATATTACTTAGCTAACTACTGCTCCCCTTTCAAGATTGAGTTTTACTGTAAGAATAAAATAAGAACATGATTTCTAATGGCAAAAAAAAAAAAAAGAACATGATTTCTAAAGTTATGATAATCACAAAAAATAATAAAACGTAACAATTTTGCCTGTCGACCATCTTGTAATCAAGTCCAACGAGTGCAGCTTACTTTTAAGGCCAGAGAAAAATGGCAATTCAGTTAAGTAATACAATATGAATTAATTGGCGAATAGATTTGGTTCAAATGCGATGCCTATCCTTGTAAAGAATATACAAATGGTTGATATTTTGCATTATACTACCAATTAGTTTAGCATGAAAAATCGGGAGATAACGATATAAGCAGCAAGTGAAAGCATGTTACGAAATTAAAGAGGATGTGACACGTGGCGTCCTGTGGAAAAGGGACCGTGGAGTAGATAGATAGATTAGGATGTCGTCTTTTATCGATAAGTTTAACGAAAAATGTGAGGAAACCCCCTTCCAATAGTAGTAAATAACGTGACATTAAAGAATTGGAAATAGACGGGCCACAACCGGCCAGCACATCACGTGAAACCCATATGGCCCAAGATAATGTCAACAAGGTCACATCGCATGCCAACCTGCTGGAATTTTCCCAAATGATTTCTCTACCGCACCTCAAATCGCCTGTACCCTGCTGTCGTTTCTCTCCGTCGTTAGATTTTTTGGACGGTTGAGATTAACTCAAGAGAACTTGTAGGGAAATGGATATCATGCTCATATTAAGTTGCTAGGAAAATAAACGGACAACATATAGTCAAATACGCTTCTTATTAGACTGTCTGGGTGGGAATTGAATTGCCCTTTTTTCTTTAAAAATGAATTTTAATTTTTTTTATCTTAACTGAAATATAATGCAAAAAATGTAACAATAAGATGATCGAATGTATTCCAATCATATGTCATGTGAATTACTTCAAAGTAACATCAAAGGACGACCAAATTTGAACACTAGGGAGCATGACGTGATTCCTTTTGTCCACTAGATGAGGTGGAGGGATCTATTTTTTTGCTAAAACATAGATATCCTCTTATCAGAGGCAATCATATTCGAAACACTGTCAGTCACTAAATGTGAACACCTTTTCCAGTAGGGATTCGAACCTTGATTCACCACTTTGTGAAAACTAGTCCCTTCTACTAGACCTAACTCCTATTAGTAATCTAGTTGATTTGTGAAAGACTCACAGGAGAGGCAAAGGCCAACGGAGCGATTCAAAACCAACAGGTCCAGATTTTGTCCACTATCCAAATCAATCTCTTCAACCGTCCAATTGAACCATTCACATTTAATATTTTATAAAATTAAGTTTATAGTTGATTTTATAAAATTTTAAATGTGCGCCGTCCAAAATTTTATCTAACAATCTATGATTAGAAAATGGCGAGGAAAAGGATGACATGTGAAGTTGAGATAAGAATTGAGACTTAAGCTACTCAAATTGTTAACCCACTGGCGGGGCTCATATCGTATGCGATGGCAAAGATAGAGTGAACATGCCAAGAGCAACATCATTCCCCAGTTTCGAGCACCAAAACAATCAAGCAAATTCCCATTCTGTCATCAAGTATCATCAATTCTTCATTATTTGATCGAGTTTCCTATTCACATTGTAGTCGAATTGTTTAGGATCCTACACTAAGCAGAGTCAATACGGTAGTTCCTTGACTTGTTTGGAGGAAAACTTTACTCACAACCAAGCCAAGAATCAGATGATCATTTTAGCAGCATCTATCTAAAACGTTGAAACAACTAGAAACCTCGAAGCACCAGTTCAACGTCCCTAAAGGAAACCATAAATCCAATAGTTAGGCCACTCCGCAACATTGCAGGAAACAGTGAGTGGAAGTGTTGTCGTTTGAAAACGAGAGAGAGAACTTCAAAGAGAAAACGTAATCAGCAGCAAGTCAATCACCAATTCTCATCCAAATAAAGAAATTCAACTGTGTAAGTCTACTATAGGTGATCCACCATATAATGACCAAAATTTCACCATTAGAAACTCTGTTTACCTCAAAGCGAGGCAGAGAAATAAACGACATTTTTCTCTCATTTTATCTTTCATTTTGAATGAATCCGGCAGGCTTGTCACAATGTTTTTTCAAGTCCTATACAACAAGGTACAAGAAAGTGTCAGCATGCAAATTAAGATTACATTGGTAAAATCCATACCCGAATGTCTAGCTCACGGTGCAATTAATACTACGGAGGCATATTGCAATAAATTATGCTAGCAATATCACACCATTATGCAAAGTATCTGGTATTTTTGCAAGTCTACATTTAGAATGTTGATATCATGGCAATGCGAAATATCTGGAAATCAAAACTCCATAATCCAAGGGGTGCAACGCATATTTGCAATTGTTATTCCAACAAGTAGGGTCTTAATTTTATGGGGATCAATATTGGGATATATGCAATTGGAGTAGCATCTCGAATATGGTGTGGAGATGCCAAAATACCAAACGGCCATTCTAAAGCTAACGTAGTATTAGAAATTAGGCTCATATGTAAACAGATGGAATTAGTTTTGCGGAAAAAGACTAACTCGTAATTAGTATACTACCCTGTATAACGGGTTCAGCTAATCATTTGATTTTGTCTTCTTTCCTTAGAGATAGCAGTTTAAAGGAATACAAATGCTTAAAAATGTCAAGGAACTACTGGACAAAACGACAGACAAGTCATAAACCAAGTGCATTATATTCAAAATTGGTGCATGAATAAGAAAACACCAGCAAAGTAAGAACAAGAAAATAGCAATGAGTTTTTTTTTTTTTGGTTTAAGAAAAAAACATTTTCCATCCCTTTGCAAATAAGATACTCTCAAACACGTTAAAAAGTAATTGCCGAACTGGCATTGCTTATCAATTTAAGAAGTACCATAAAACAACAATTATTCGATAAACAATTAAACATTCTTGTATAGCTGCATTTAAAGTTGTGAATAATTATACTCAGTTTTAAGGACGGCTGAAATACACTGGTTTCATAAATTTGTATATCATTACTCTGCCCTTAGGAGCTACTACAATTTATTTATTGCTATTTAGTTTTCCCTTTTTGCCAAAGCTATGTAATCTAGTTTTATGTCATGTCAAATTGAATCCTAAATTTTAGGCAACACTGCTTATTTCTTACTTTCTTAGGTTATGAATCACTTTAGTGGTCATATTTTCAGACTTAGTCCAATAAATATCCCTTGCTAGTTGAATTCTAGTTTCGTTACTGCCTGTAACTAGTAGAGACATAGAACTTAAAGTAGAACCTCGAGAAAGCCAGCTCCAGCAGGTAGAATCGGAGGCGATGCTGGAAGTGAGCCTAGCATCAGCAATGGCGGTATGAAGAGGCATCATAGACTCAAAACTTCCAAGTACAGACAAAATCCTACAACAACCATAACTCAAAATGAAAAATAAAATAAAATAAACCTTAACGCAAAAGTGCAAATCAATATGGAGAAAGGAGCAGTTGCAGCAGTAATAACGAAGTTCAGCTCTGGTCCATAAAGGTGATGTTGATATCGAAATGACTAAAATGAGCAGAGAGAAGTGAAGTGATGAAAGAAACTAGAGTGTGGAGTTGAATCTGAGGTTGTGTTTACCTTGAAGTGTGAGGGATGATCGTAGACGAACGCGAAGAGAACATAGCCGGTAGAGATGCAGCATTTTGGTGTTTTTGGATTAAGCTACTAGAACGATTACCGAAAGACCTTGAGCTTACCCTTAGCACTGATTTACAGAACGAAGAAGCCATTGCTGACTCAGAAATTCTGTTACACAAGCTGGGCGAAACAGGCGAGTGAATACCGGCCACTTAACCCTACCTGCCGGTGCGGAAGCAAAGTCTTTACGACGTCGTGTGCTCTTGTTCAAGTTGACTTTCAATCACCTTTTTTTGGGGCCAATTCCAAGTTATTATTTTTATTTTAGTTTTCCATAAAATTTGCCAATAACATGTTCAAAAGGTTTGTCTAGTGTAGTTACAAAACAAAGTAAATATGATGCTACAATTATTATTAATTTATATTTAATAAGTTTTCAAAAATTATATTGTGTTTTCTTAGACAAAATTATATTGAGTTACCATGATGTAAAAATTAGGCTGAGCCAGATGAGATATAATCGTCCTGTTGATAATTTCCCAAATTCACAAAATACTTTGCCACTTGTGATTAGAGCCGGTAATATGGGCCAACCCGCTGATTATGGGTTGGCCCGTGTCGGGCCTGAAGCTTGGCGGGCTGGGCTTTTTAGGATCACTTTCTGACGGGCTGGAATTTTTTCAACCGGCCCGCGAGGGTAACCTGCCAACCTGCCAAATTTTGTTTTTTTTTTAAATAAAACCTACTCAAAGTCCCAAATTCCTAAATACCTAAAATAAAACATGCAAATAAAAATTATAAATAAAACACGAAACCCATCCAAAGTTCCAAGTTTCAAGTTTCAAATATATCAAAATATTAAAATATGATTAAATGAACATGATATGTCCTTAATAATTTAACAAACATCTCAAATTAAAACATAAATCCAAATTAACACTACCACAAAGTCACAAACACAATGTCACTACACAAATCACTATCAAGTATCAACTATCAAGTGCTCAATCATCACTTATGAGCTAGGACAAAGGCGCAAAGCAAAGACAGAGAGCAGAGACTTGGGACTTGGGACTTGGGAGTTAGGACTGGCCGAGGGCGACTGGGAGACTGGGTCTGGGAGAGTTGGGAGTCTGGGAGGAGTGCGACACGCAAGCAAAATGTGAAAATGGGACCGTCTTAGTATTGCCGTGTTAGACTGTTGGACATGGACCGCTCATTGTTGTACTGTGGACTAGGCCAAGAGTGTAGAGACTGAGAGGCAAAGGGAAAATTTTGCAACAAAAAAATATATGGTTAAACGGGTTGGCATGCCAACCCTGCGGGTTAGCCCGCCGCGAGTTTGGGTTTGACGGTTATGGGCTCAAAACTTCCATTTTAAAACGGTCCTAATTTTTATCAACCCAACCTGCTATTTGTTGGCGGGTTGAGCCCATATTACCGCTCTACTTATGATCACAGTACTTAAATAAAAAACATTGTAAAGGAGGTAAAAATGTCAAATTATTCGAACCTTATGCCTTTGATTTTATTTTTATCCTTCAGAAAAACAGGAATTCAATCATCCTCCCCTCCTCTTTTAAAATTTATTTTTAAATAAAATTATTACTCAGACAGTTAAAAAAAGTTAAAAAGTTAATTTTTAAGCATCTCGAATCAAAACACTGCTCATACCATATTTTACATTTAGATCTGCCAATAAAAGTTCGAATTAAATTCGGTTCCTTTCGAATTTGATTCCCCGTACGGCCCCTTTTTCTGGAATTTGGACTATTCCTCTTTACTTTTTGTGATTTCAAATTTAAAAGTGTTTGGGAGCTCTAAAAAAATTTTAAAAAGTATTTTTGAGGTAAAACTTCTCTCACATACTTATATTGAATTTTGTAAAATTATTTCTAAAATTGTGATTTGATTTTCATTCCCAATATCCCCTTAATCCTCCTTTGGATTCAATACCCATTTTTCTTAACCCATGATTCGTATGAGAAAATTATATGGGAGTAGAGAAAAAATTTTAATGAGTTTAGTGGGGTCAAAAAAATGTAAGATAAAAGAATAAATAAAATTAGTTAAAAACTTTTAATCCTATTTCTTTTAATATTTTAAATGGAATTCATTAAAATTTTTCACTCCACTTTCCTAAAACCAACCATTAATTTAATCTTCTTTTCACCTGGTGAGCTGGGCCGGGCCTTATTGTTAAAACAGAGAAGCCGCGAATCAAAACTAGTGGAGTTTAATAGTTAAGTGGAATACCGAATATGTGCCCCATAAAAAAAGGTTAGATAGAATAATTGCAAAATCCGTCGGAGTCCGACCCAGTCTAGTTTTTGCCCTGGCCTGCGTTCTCTTCCGCGTCGCTGCAAAGGGGAGCGCAGAGATAGATTGAGAATGGCAGAAGAAGCAATCCTCAGTTACCTGGAAAAGGGCGAAGTAATTTCAGATTCCGGTGTCTTTGCTTCTGAACGTGGAATTGACCACAATGAGATCGTTAATGTCATCAAGAGCCTCCACGGTTTTGGATATGTCGATGCTGAGGTGCCATACATTTCTTCTTAGTCATCGCCATCTTTATGCTTCACCCACTGCTTCTGTATTCATGAGAGTTCTTGGTTTTCCCTGAAAGCTTGTCGCAATGGTTCTTTGTATAAATTACACCTTTCACTACCCATGATCGTTTACTTGCTGTTTTTGTTACATTTGTTACAGTGCAAAACTTAGCTTCGCGCAAGATCCTAAATTTAATGAAAAATAGTATAGGATATCGATGACTGTTCTGTACATTACTTTTTATAACCTTGTTTGCATTCGAAATGGTTTTTTTTTTTTTTTTAAATGGTTTGCACTCGAAGCAGCTTCTATGACGGGTTTATAGTTTAGATCGAATTTACCTTCGCGATAACCGTGTTATCATGCAGGACATTAAGAGGGAGACATGGGTGCTAACGGATGAGGGGAAGACATATGCTGCTGCAGGATCACCTGAAGTGCAACTGTTCCTGGCAATACCGCCGGAAGGTATCTCTAAAGAGGAACTTCAGGTTATTATTCCACACACTGAAGATTTATGATAACTTTAATTGTTCTCACTAATTAGTTTTGATAGCTCTTTTAGGGGATTGTATTGAATTTTCTATTTTCGTACTGTACCAGTAAATTTTGGTAAAAAAAACTGAAAGCTGGTGTCTCCTTGCAGAAAAAGCTAAACCCCGCTGCCTTCAAAATAGGCTGTGCTCAGGCTGCAAAGAATAAATGGGTGGAGTTAGGAAAACAACTTATATCCCGGAAGGTATGCTATGGTCAACTTGTTGCCTTAATCTGAAGATGGCCAAGTTCATTAGATTCTTCTTTTTCTAACTTGCCATTGTCATTGGTCATTAAGACATTCATATTAGTATCCTGAACCTAACTAAATAAAGCTACCAGTTTCACTTGCACATCTCTAAGTTTGTTTATCAGAAATTTTGCCTGTTAAAGTTCAATGTTGCTGCTTATTCGTTAGAGCTTTACTCATGCGTCTAATGTTCTGCTTTTTGTTGTAAAATTTGGTCGATGGCATTGCTACTGTATGGTGTCTGTTTTGTTCTATTTTTATCTCCTGTTCTATATAGTCCACCCTACTCTAAAGGAACATTTATATCCGGGTATGACATTGTAGTGACGATGCAAAGGATGCACCTTGTGCTTATTTGGCCTAGTAATGATTTTACTATGCACTAATTATTGTTGACAAGTCTATATTTTGCTGTCAGGTCCAACATGTGGAGGATAGAGTTAAAGAATTGCTTCTGAAAATACAAGAGGGACAGGTGGGTGTGCTATTGTGAAAGTTCCTGCTTACAGTTCTGAGTCAGTATCCTGTCTTTTCACCTACTAGGTCCAAGTGATGATTGGTTGTGGGCTTTAAGCTTGTCCCCCCCCCCCCCCATTTTCCTACTTATGTTTTCTTTCTTCTCAGCTTTCCTTTTCAAATTTGGATACCTCATTAAAAATTTTCCTGCATGCTGTTGATTCAGGTTATTGGTTCAGATGATATTAAGGCTCTCAAAGCCCGGAAGCTTATTGTTCCACAGTAATAATAATAATTTCCTTGCAGACTTCTAAATTCTTGTTGACTTAAGATTATTTGACCTTGCTAGAGAGCTTTCAAGACATATTACATTTGTTTTGATTCTGTATTCTGTTTTGATATGGAAAATATCTCATGATTTAGGACATGGAACGGCTACTCAGTGAAAAAGGGCCCTAACTATGCTCCGAGAAGAAAGAAAGTTGTCACTGATCTAACTCGAGACAATCTCCAGAGGTATTATTTTTAATGAAGGAAAAATATGCATTAGAACTTTCGCATTTAAACTGTTGCTTGTTGCCAGTGTCTCAGCAATATTCTCTTGGTAAAGTGTACGATTTTTCTATAGATATTTTTATTTTGTCTGAACTTCTGCCTTTGTTGTTTTGTTTTATATCAGCGGAGAGTGGAAGGAATTAGAATTCAAAGAGTACAACTACAGTGCTAAAGGTCAGCCACTTGAGGGTGGATACCTTCATCCACTACTGAAGGCAAGAAGATTGTTCCTCATTTCCTCTCCCCCTTCTTCCCCTTACTAATGGGAAGACGATGCATATCAAAATTTGTTACCATTGCCACCTTAATTTTGTTTAACTGTGAACGATGCCTGTACTTGGAATGTCGGTTTATCAATAAAATGTCCCAGAAAGGTTCCCTGTGATTTTTGTAAGGTAGAAATTGCTGGAGTGTGATCTTATTGGGGGTAATGTTCATATTTAACTTATTCTGAAAGTCATTGTCTATTTACAGGTGCGTCATCAACTAAAACAAATTTTCCTCTGCATGGGGTAAGCCTTATTATTGTCATGTGAAAGCTAATGTCTTTTCTGGGTAATACATTCAGTTTAATTAGTTATTAGTTCTGAATGTCAATCTGGTTTGTGCTACAGGTTTGAGGAGATGCCAACAAACAATTTTGTTGAAAGCAGGTAAGGTTTTACCCCGGGCTGTATCAATTCCATTCTAATGTCAGTTGTTGATTCATCACTACTGAAACATCATGTGATAGGTTTTGATTTTGTGGCTTCATATATCCAACCGGTATAATGTGATAAAGATGCTTTCATCATTATCTTTATGTACATCTTTTCA